AAATTCTTCAAATCACTGTTATTAGAGTGCGTCAGCTCCAGAATCCATCAGGTTTATGTTTAAATTCAAATAAGTATAAATGAAATAAATAATAAAAGTGACACTTCAAGTTACACTTTGAATGGAATTCAAAGACTTTTAAGATGCTGACAGGCAAGACAGCAGGTGCACACAAAAGATGTTCTACAACAGTCAACAAATAAAATATAGTTAGTCTTCTTATAAATAATAATAATAATACACTTTAATTGTATAGCACCTTTCATACAAGAAATGCAGCTCAAAGTGTTTCACATGCAATATGGATAAAAACAAAAATATGTTGAAAAATTAATAGTTACTCACTCCCCATGAAATGACTTAAAGTGTGACAGGTCCCATTACACTGAATCACAAATCTGAATATGTGAACCTCCAACAAGAAAAACAAGGCATTCCCGTTAATTAACTGTAAATTCAAGTCATCATGACACTTATCATCATTATCATCACCACTCCTCTGACCTTGTGCTCAAATCCAGTCTTATGTATCTTGGCATGAAATTATAGACCCCTCCCTCATCAACTGTCTGCAGGTGCACACCCAGCGGGTCCCTCTCAGCGTCTCATAGGCTGAGGGGAGAAGACTACGGTTGAACTGCTGTGAATGTGTCAATTTGTATATAACTGAGAGGTGAGGACTAGCTGTAAAAGAGCACTTGTGCCCTGGATAAATAATAGTTTAAGAAGGAATCTGTCATTTTCGCATGTGCAATAAAATAAAACCCAGGCTGTGGTCATGGTGTAACACTGTATTTTATAACCCGACTAAATGGTTGAGAATTTATTTCACCAACTTTTTTTTTGAAGAGGTTCTGATGTGGTTTGACTGCGTGCCTCTGTGTAAAAAAAACATACAGTAAGTCGACAATGAGAGCTCAAATTTGACAAATCTCCAAGACAGATGTTGCTACCACGTAGCAGGCACACCCTAACAAACTGCTGTGTGGTTTTAAAAATCGCACCATACAATGAGAATGAATAAAAGATAAAAACAGCACAGACTGCTGAGAAACAACAGTAAATCCAACACACCACATTAAATTTACTGTAACTTCACTCTGCAGAGAAAAAAGCTGATTTCTTCAAAAAATAAACAAAGCCACAAACGAAAAAAAGAAAAACTACTCACACTTAACCAAAGGGAGAGTGGATATTGGTAGTACACTGAGAAGTATGTTAGTACTTTGAAGGTTTTGGCTTAGCTTCTGTGGCCAGTATCACCTCCAGGCTGCCAAAGGTCCAGTTCTGGCTCATTTATTCCCTCATGGGATTTCAGGCACAGCCTTAAGTGGTTTGAAAATGACAGCCCTGTCAAAGCAGTTTCCTCTGAAAAACACCATTTCAAAAGAGAGGCCAACACAACTGGATTTGTTTGAGTCAGGTCTCTTTTGGCAACAATAGAAACCCTGTCACATATGCTTTTGTGCATGGTACAAAAAAAAAATTAGAATTCATAAGTTAGCAACTAATATTAATGTTAAAAAAGTTGAAAACTTAAAAAGTCTGATCAGATAACTTGTTGAATATCCCAAAGTTCTGAATCTCTTAAACCCCTGAGATCCTTCTATGGTAAAAGTAATGCATTTAATAAAATGAGGAAAACTCAAAATTTATGAGGTAGATTTATAAGGTAGGATTGTTCTTATGTTGTTGACTATGGTGCTACATATACATTTGTGAGCATTAACCTCCAGTAAAATAAGAAATTGACATTATATGGCAATTTTGTGCAAACACATGCATTCATTTGACCTTGCCCATGAACTCTTCGCTTTGTGGTAGGAAGTGCAGCAAGTCAATGTTGACATCTTGCACGCCACTAACTATACATTCATGGCCACGGGCAGTGCAGGAAATTAAAGGGTGCAGTATCAAACAGGCATATCAAACTGAAATGCACAGAAGCTGGTGTACTGAGTCTCACGCCAACAGACTGGTGTGGCTGTGAAGTCTGTCCTTGGAGAAAAAAAGATTGCTGTCCCTACACCATCATAGGGAGAAGTGTTTTAAATCACTTTGTTTTTCTAGGGAGTAGAGCACCAAATGTTTGGTTATTCATGGATCAGGGAGTTGTCATGTATTCTATAATTATGTATAGCCTAATAGAAATTATACATATACACATACAAATGATCATGTACACTCCATTTGGGTATTACCAAGTACTATAAGCCTGTTTTTTGCTTCTTGTATGTTTTCAAGTGTAATTTCTAAATCTACATACCGCATCATGTAAATACTGTGCCGTGCCCTTTTTTTTTTTCAAATATAAAATGATTTAGTAAAACAGTTCACTGAATCCAATGATAAATTAAATATATATATATATATCCTGCATCATCAACTTGTACATCATACTAGCAAAATAATTATATCACATGCATCTATATTTCTTTCTTCCCTAGCCGTTGCAGGTGAGCAAGGTGCTCAAGGTCCTCCAGGAGAACCAGGTCCAATGGGACCACCTGGACCTCCCGGAAAAAGTGGTGTAGGGCATACTGGACCACAAGGCCCACCAGGACCCGCTGGACCCCCTGGCTACTCTCAAGCAGGTAAACCTGGTACTCCTGGTGGCCCTGGAAAACCAGGTGGCCCTGGCATCCCTGGTGAGAGGGGTGCAACTGGCGCACCTGGACAAATGGGGCCCAGAGGTGCACCTGGTTCACCTGGAACACCCGGACCTGCTGGGCTTTCTTCTGTTGGAAAACCTGGACCAAGTGGCATTCCTGGAGCAATGGGACCAAGAGGAGAGCCTGGCCTGAAGGGACATCCTGGTATTCCTGGTATTCCTGGCATCAAAGGAGAGAGAGGTATTGGAGTTCCTGGTGTTCAAGGACAACCAGGCGCAGTTGGACCAATGGGTCCATCTGGTATGCCAGGCAAACCTGGAATTGGTAAACCTGGTGCCACTGGCTATCCTGGAGAGCCTGGCAAGAGCGGCATGCCAGGAAGAGATGGTGCTCCTGGGCCAATGGGTATGACAGGACCAAAGGGTCACACTGGTGCTCCAGGCACAGGAGCATCAGGAAAGCCAGGCCAAAACGGTACCCCAGGTATGCCTGGACCTATGGGGCCTAAAGGTCCACAGGGTCCAGCTGGTCAGACAGGATCCCCTGGTATGCCAGGTGTTGGCAAAACAGGTGAACCTGGAATTCCAGGCAGCAGAGGAGCCCCTGGTACTTCTGGAACCACTGGTCAAAAAGGAGAGCCAGGCCCAACAGGCTTTACTGGTCACCCAGGTGCTCCAGGTGCCATAGGCCCAGCTGGTCCACAAGGTTCAAGGGGATTTCAAGGTGAGGCAGGCCCAACAGGACCCAAAGGCGACATTGGTATGGTTGGTGCCCCTGGCCAAAGAGGAACCAAAGGTGATCAAGGAGCTCAAGGTTTCACAGGAAAACCAGGTACCCCTGGAGCAGTAGGCCCTTCAGGAATTCCAGGTCACAATGGTCCTCAGGGTGCAAAGGGTTCACAAGGCCATGCTGGTGCTCCAGGACTCCCTGGTTCAAATGGTGCACCAGGACATAAAGGACACACAGGTTCCCCAGGAGCACCAGGAAAGAGTGGTGAGAACGGAAGGCCAGGACCTATGGGACCATCTGGTCCAACTGGTCCATCTGGCCTCCCTGGACTTAAAGGCCATCCAGGTCTTCCCGGCCCACCTGGTCCAGCTGGCTTAACATCTAAGGGTGTTTCTGGTCCCCAGGGTCCACCTGGAGTTCCAGGGTCAAGAGGTCATGATGGTCTTCCAGGCCCAGCAGGTCCTCCTGGTCCACCTGGCCAACCAGGAGAGGTGGTCTACCACCATGAGAAGAGCATGCCAGTCAAGTCCCATGAGGTTGTAATGTCTCATGAGATGATGAAGGCACCCATGTCTGCCTTCAGTGCTGTGTTGACCAGGGCCTATCCCGCAGCTGCAACTCCTATTCAGTTCAACCAGGTTCTGTACAATGGTGAGCACCATTATGATGCCAACACCGGTGAATTTACCTGCCAGATCCCCGGCCTCTATTATTTCAGCTATCATGTTCATGTCAATGGTGCAAACGCATTGGTGGCTCTCTACAAAAACGAGGAGCCAGTTGTTTTCAGTTATGATGAGTACAACAAGGGCTTCCTGGATCAGATGTCAGGCAGTGCTGTTGTTATGCTGCATCCCGGTGACAGGGTCTATGTACAGGTCCCTGATGAGGAGAGTAATGGTATATTTGCGGCAGATAATGTTCACTGCACTTTCTCTGGGTTCTTGATTGCCTCAACGTGATTTCAAAGTCCAAGAAAACCTCAAAACCTTACAAACATTTAACTACTCAGAGAAATAGATCAGTTTTCAAGATTTGAATTTGAGATTTTGTATGAAAGAAAAATCAAGATGTAATTTTAACTGCCTCATTTATATATTTACAATTATGAAAAAGTCTTCAAATTCCTAACAGAGGAATGCTTAGTGAGTGCTCACTAAAATGTTATAATATGTGGATCAAATTCAACCCATTTCCCAGTTCAACTTGTGTGTTCCTTGGCAATTTTAGGAATCATGAAACAATATTGGAAGATATCTCAAGTGGTGCTCTACAAATGCCTGTAACATTTACAGTACGTCTTATTTGTGTTTGGTTTTTTTCATGAGTGTTTTGAAATTTCCTGTAATATACATACAAAATACAAACAAAACTGTTGTATTATATGTATTAGAGATCAGCACATTGTACTGTGACTATTAAAAACACAGAATGAGAAATTTCAACTGCATTTTTTTTCAAAACAACTATGTCCCATTGGATGTGTTAAGTTATGTACCACTTACTGATCAATACACAGAATAAAAGTTCTAGTCTGAAAAAAAAAAGATCCTCCCTGTGTGTGTTGTTCTTCCTTATAGTGGTGGTCGTTGACAAGAAGACATCAGTGGTGAACAATAAACTAAAGCGTGTGTGTATGCTTTGGGATGAACAGCATACCTTTGAATGCAGAGGTGTTGTAATTGTGGTCAATGGCAGCAACCATGTCCTTCCAGAAGTCGGAATTCACCTCATTTCCTCGCTGTTAAAAGGAATATAAAGTTATATTTTAATATGTTTGTGTGAAAATATTAAACATTAATATGAAGCCACACAGACTAAATTAAAAAGTACCTTGTGTAGCATATCCACAACTCTTCCACAGAGAAGAGCCCCAGGTAGATCAAAGTAGTTGTCATAGAAATAGTACTTCGCTGCAAAGACCACAACAGATGAGTAAATCAAATAAATCCAGTGAAAGGTGAAGTAAAAAAAAAATCCCAGATATCACACATTAGCTGACGTAAGAGCCAACAGCACACAGCTATAGGTATTAATGAAGGATACAAACAACATACCAGATCTGGTGAAGGAGGTATTGAGGCTGTTAAAGTGCTTCCACTCCCTTTTAGGACCATAATGTTTGATGATCTCTTCTATGCTGAGGTCATTGGTTCCATGTGTCGCTCTGATCAAACAAGAAACAAAACGATTATCCCACTTGGTCAGTGGAAACCATGAGAACCTTTTCAAAGAGAGAGAAGCAGCCCTACCGCAACACAGTTCCATCTTCAGCCAACTTCACAAGGTTTCCATCCTCCAGATCCACCACTAGTCCTTTGAAACTAGACACAAAAATTAGGATGTTATAAAGATAGGAATCCATATCATCACTGTTGTCCTGTATTCAGCATAGAAAAAAATATTTACTAGATTTGATTTTTCCTCTTGCAAAAATGCCAGCCACCTTCACCTCATTGCCTCTAAGATTCCTTCAAACTAAACGACGAGGAGATGAGATTATAATTTAGATGAACTTTAAAGGTTCACAAGCCTAAAGGGTCGGGGACCACTGGACCATTCGGTAGGTTCTAGCAGGGGTGGCTGGACAATAGGGGGCGATAGCGTGCGGCACTCCAAAAGAAAAAAAGGAAAAAAGATGAAAGTGCTAAATTTTGTTAAATATCATTAGAATCGTCAATATTATTTAAAAAACCTATTACATTCTACAAATTCTCAAGACAGTTTGTTCTGCCTGCTGCCTCTGAAAAAAAAAATAAGAATTAAAATGTTCTTCATTAAGTTTGACATTCTAAATGTGTTTGTCTGTTCCTCCACAGCTTTATACTGGTGCATAGTTTTTAGATATTAGCAGATTTCAAAGGGATGGTGTGCAATGTTATTGCTCTAGTCGTGGGTATTATATGAATATAGTCTGTATATCCCTCAAAGAGAAACAGGTATTAATAACAGCTCTATATGTTTTAGTTCCCCCCTAGGCTGTGAAAACTGCGGCTGCTGACTCACCAGAAGTCCCATGTAGCAGGGGTTAGGTTCAGCAGGTCCTTGTCGTAGCCTTTATGCTCCACCAGATACCTGGCAAAGCTCTCATAGATGAGCTGCAAACACACACAGGAAACAACATCAGATTGAGCTGCACGGTCATAAAGCAAATTCCATCAAAAATATAGGTTCTTCTTTCAACCAAAAGCCTATGCTGGATGATTTCTCCTTATCGTTTCCTAAATTATTTCTTTGACACTAAATGTATCCGATGCACATCTTTTAAAATTCATCCATGCTTTTTTCATTCAAACCTTTTTCCTAGGTGGGATAATTGCGACATCACAGACATGCTGCAATACATAGAAAACCGTAGAGAGAAAAGCCCCATGGAGGGCAGTGACTGTGCTCTGGGGTTCATCTTTTACATGAGTCTCCTCAAACTCAACGCAGACAGAAGAATGTTGGAGTGCTCCTCTAACGGACTCGGATGGAATTTGCGGAGTAACAGAAGTAAGGTAGGTAAAGCATTCCTGCAGGACTTTCACCTCAAATAATTATATATAAACACTTCACAAAAAGGGAGAATCCACAAATACAAGATTTAAATAAGAATAACAAAAAATCTAACAACACAATTAATCTTTGATGGCACTAATCAAAGCTTTCATCAATCTGTAATTAACTTGTATAAAGAAAAAACTTTTACCACATCAGGTTCAATATTTCACTTTCTGACTACGAGAGGACGGCTGGTGGACGTCTAATTATTCTTTGCTTGTGACCCAATGATAAATTGAATTCAACGATCTGACTGAATCAAATCTGGGACCTAACTGACATTTCTAAACTCCAAATTATTTACCAACCAATTCGAAGGGCCGTTCAAGCAGCGCAGAGTCAGACGTGTCTTCAGTTTCATTAGAGAGGTTATGTTTTTGCACTTCGATGAGGTTTTGCTGCTCTTGCTCCTCTGTTTCAGTGTTGACAGGATTACTGGCCAGGGAGAATATTTCACTCTGCCACTGACCCACTCCGTCTCTCCCTCTCTTCTTTCGTTTCTGCATTTACTCACTTTCTAGTTGATTATCTTGATGCATATTTGGTGATGTTGAATTTTTCTCTCCACTTTATCAATTTCTGCTGTAACGCTGAACTGTCTTAAACTCTGCAACAGGTTAGTGTAATGTTCAGGCTTTTGCATTTCAATAAAGCAAACCCCTTGGTTCTTTTTCTATTTCCTCCTCTTCCATCTTTGCCTCTCTATATGGTGATGAAGGATGTTATTCCCTCAGTTTATTTCTCCTCTCCCTCCATTTATCTCTTACCATTCCTTACTGACATTACACTCTGTTTGGTGGTTTGCATGTCAATTAGACCAACCTCAGCTATTTCTCTCTCCCTCTTTTTTCCTTCCTCCTTTTCCGTTCTCTCACCCACTGTGGCTTGGTGGGCTGATCAAAGACTTCAGTTCCCAGGGACACATTTGTCACTTTGCTTTTTTTTCCTTCCGCTACCTTGACTCAAGATAATGTGCAAATGGTTGGGGGCTTTTATCCCGGGAATCGTGAGGTCCCCTGCGCTGCTGCCAGAAGGTCGGAAGTTCGATCCCCAGTCTTCCCATCTGCATGCCAAAGTGTCCTTGGGCAAGATGCTGAACCCCAAATTGCCCCATAGAACAACAAAAAGTGCTAGTAATAGAAGCACTGCATGATTGAATGTGTGTGTGAATGGGTGAATGGAAAACTGTATTGTGAAGCACTTTGAGTGGTCATCAAGACTACAAAAGCGCTATATAAATACAACCATTTACCATTTAACACTTAATCCAGGAAAAGTGGGTTTCTCAGCAAATGTCCAGAATATGAGGTAACTTGTAGCTTTGGCTGTAAACTTTTGTTTTGTGTATGAAGCTGAATCCAGGACTCTGGCTCTGTCTCTTCAACTTTACGAGTGATTACCTCGGAGGAAATTTTCACGCTAACTTTCCCTCAGAGCTTTTCATTCCCTCAGTCTTTGTTGAGATAGAACCAGAACTAATCCAAAAGGCACATTTTCTCTCCCCACACACACAAATACTTGTAGTTTGCTGATATAAGTGATTCTCTTGCATGTGTAAACACACACACACACACACA